CCTAGATCAACAGTAAGTGGGGCGCTTGAATCAAAGACTCAGTGTTCAAGAGTTGTGTTTCCAGCAGCAGGAAAGTGTGTGACGCCACACGCTGCGATGCCCACATTTCCCCTGTTCTTCTATGAGGGGTTAAGTGAAGTCACAGAAGGTTTATCTGCCTTCATATTGCCCTGCCGCCATCAATAAAATGCAACAATGTGTCTTGAAAAGTCAGCTTATAAAAGTTTCAGGAAACTCTGAGAGCTTAAGTGATCTTCCCCCGGCTCCGCAATAGCCCTGCAGCATCCAGGATGTCTGCTTATATTAATTTCATGGAGTTTAAGAGGTCAGCAAACTCATTTGGAGATTCTTATTCATTTATGAACCCAGCAAACCCCCCTGTTCTGCGGCGCTCTAAGCTTCAGGGCCTCGCATGCTTAAATTTACATGGAATATTATATAGTTAGTTGTGTGAAAAGTACAGTGCTCTTGCTCAAGCAGGCAGATTAAGGCTAAGCAATGCACTTGGAGATGACAGTCAGACGCATTTTAAAGAAAAGGCAGGTGGATGAACCTGTGTTTCTCAGAGCGTTTGGATCATTGCTTCATCTAAAATGCAGAAGATTTCTAATGAGACAACGTGAGACTGAGAGAAAGCAGCTTAACAACAGACCTGAGGGGAGCAGTCAGTGAAACTGAGTAAATGAGCTCTAAGCTGCTTGGCATAGTGAAAATCTTACATTCATCCAGCTATACTATAGAGAGCTACATAATAATAATAGTAATGTTACTTTTTTTTTTCAAATTTTTCAATTTGCATTAATGCTATTTTTATTTTATTTATTTTATCATTTGATTGTTTTAAGTTATAATTCACACATTTTTAAAATGATTTTTATTAAAAGCTGTATAGAAGCATGCTATAGAACTACAGATTTGCAATTATTTGGACTACATATCCAGTCATGCACCGCTCACACGCACCTGTTCCAGTTTCCATTGAGTACATACACACACAGCCAGAAGATTGTTACAGACTGATTACAAGGACTATTTATACAGCACACATAGGCTCATCAGTGCTGAGTCTTGTTTAGCTGTATTTTGAACATTACGATGTGGTTTCCTTGCCTTGCAGTGTTAGACCCTTGCCTTGTTTTATTGTTTATTCCTAGTCTGCTGTATTTGCCTATATACACCGGTTTGCCCTGTGTGGACCAATGCTTGCTTGACTATTCTATTTTGAATAAACCTTCATTTGAATCCACACTTCCTTGTCAGCATCCCATCTCATTACAAAAGGTGTGTCAAAAAACAACATAAAATTGTATAAAACAACAATATATTAATTTAACAATATATTAAGATAAATTTTAATGTTTTTAGTGATGTTTGCAACAACTTATTTTCCATTTAATACAGTTTTATTTGTGTATCTTCAAATGAATAGAAGTGAATAAAGTTGTTTATTTTATTTTTCGTCTTTAAAATATAACTGAGGCTTTAATTGTCATTTATTGGGAATTTATAAAGCATAAATAGTCCTGGGGTGAAGCAGTGGCGCAGCAGGTAGTGCTGTCACCTCACAGCAAGAAGGTCGCTGGTTCGAGCCTCGGCTCAGTTGGCGTTTCTGTGTGGAGTTTGCATGTTCTCCCTGCGTTCGCGTGGGTTTCCTCCGGATGCTCCGGTTTCCCCCACAGTCCAAAGCCATGCGGTACAGGTTAAATGGGTAGGCTAAATTGTCCGTAGTGTATGAGTGTGTTTGAATGTGTGTGTGGATGTTTCCCAGAGATGGGTTGCGGCTGGAAGGGCATCCGCTACATAAAAACTTGCTGGATTAGTTGGCGGTTCATTCCGTTGTGGCGACCCTGGATTATTAAAGGGACTAAGCCCACAAGAAAATGAATGAATGAATGAATAAATAGTCCTAACTTTAGATTAGGTCACAAAACTGAATGAAGTTAAGCATTTATTAACGTGCAAATTGACTATCAATATATGCCTGAACAATAAGAATTATGCATGTTAATTTAAATAGTTTAGTTATTTACTTTCGCATTGTGAATAGTCTTTAAAAACCAGCAACTACTCTCAAATAACTGATTTATAAATTATGAAATACTTAATTTAGTAATAAAAAATAATAATTAACAAAGTATGAAAATAAAATCAATAAGCACAATATACAGGTGCTTACAACTCAAGAATACAGCATTTTTATCTGCAGTTACAAACTCCTTACTAACATAAAATAACTGCTCGATCGTGCAGATTTGCACTCTATAACATCAGAAAGATCCGACTCTTCTTTTCTGAACATGCAGCTCAACTTCTTGTTCAAGCACTTGTTCTCTCCAGACTGGATTACTGCAACTCTCTACTAGCGGGGCTTCCAGCTAACTCTATCAAGTCTCTTCAGCTGCTCCAGAACGCAGCAGCACGAGTGGTCTTTAATGAACCTAAAAGAGCACATGTCACTCCGCTGCTCATCTGTTTGCACTGGCTGCTAGTTGCTGCTAGCATTAAATTCAAAGCTCTGATGCTTGCCTACAAAACGACTTCTGGCTTTGCTCCTTCTTATCTGCTCTCACTTCTGCAGATCTATGTGCCCTCCAGAAACTTGCGTTCTGTGAATGAACGTCGCCTCATGGTTCCATCCCAAAGAGGGAAGAAATCACTTTCCCGAACGCTCGCGTTCAATCTGCCCTTTTGGTGGAATGAACTCCCTAACTGCATCAGAACGGCAGTCACTCGCTGTCTTCAAGATACGACTAAAAACTCAACTATTTAGTCTCCACTTCACTTCCTAATCTGCAATTGCCTCTCTGGATATACCACTAACTGTACTCAAAAACATACATAAATAAATAAATAAATAAATAAATAAATAAATAAATAAATAAATAAATAACTAATGCTTTCCTTCTGAAACGTGCCTATAGCACTTATTCATTGTTGCTCTTATAGTTGTGTAAATTGCTTCCTTGTCCTCATTTGTAAGTCACTTTGGATAAAAGCGTCTGCTAAATGTAAATGTAAACATCTGTTAACAAATAATTAATTATTTGCTAATGCTTAATAAATTCATAGTGTGTAAGTATTATAAATTAAGTATAATTTAATTTCAATAAAAAAATTACAAATAAATAAATAAAAAAAAACTGAAAAGGTGCTTTTGACCAAATGGCACTGCATTTGATTAGAAAACAGAAAAGTAATGAACAAAAAAAATAACTAAATAATAATAATAATATTAATAAAATACTATGGACAGTACTTATCAATAAACATGTCTCAAATCATCCAACTCATCCCTGCTAACAAGAATTACCTCTAATTTCTATATTTTTATTATCTCCTGGAATACCTTGGCATTGATATTATGAGGAATATTTTTTTTTTTCAGTTAATGCAATAGCATTGCAGTGATTGCTTTGGGCAAAAATAATAAAATAAATAAACAAATAAAAAAGAAAATCATGAAAAAGGATTTTATCCAGTCCTACAGCTATAACACAGAAATAATCAGGAGATTTAGTCCATAATAATGAAGTCCAAAAAAAAAAAAAAAAAAAAAAAGCAGAGCCACAATAATAAAACATAGCTCATCCAAATCTTCTCTGATCATACTCATATTAAAATAATATTCTAATTATTCTAATTATGTTCTAATTATCCAACGAGATGAGCTAAATACTATTGTACATATCATACTAAAATTGTAATGTAGAAAATTAATATAACTACATTTAATGCAGCTTATTTCTTTTTTATTTACATTGGGTTATGCATTTATGAAAAGTAATTATATAAGAATTAAGTAATTTCACAATATTGATAATAATAAGATTCATGAAGAGTTTTTTTCAGCCTAATGTAAAGAAAACGGATCCATACAAATTAAAGAATTTCTTTTGTCTACTTTATCAAGCTTTCAATTATATTTTAAAGGCCATTTTCTCAAAATGAATTTTTGTTTTATCCTACACTACATAAGATCTCCACTTTATCAGCACACCTTTCTATTTTTGTTTGCGTTGAATTTGTCATTTCTATTTTCTGACTTTTTTTTTACACAACGATGGTTGATTATTTACATTATATATATATATATATATATATATATATATATATATATAAACTTCTGAGAATTCAAATTATTATCCATATTTATTATTGTTTTATTACTGATTTATCATATTCAAATTACAGTGGGAATTTTGGGTTTTGTTTTTATAACTTCATAATGCAGAAAGTATTATAAATTTATGAAAACAAAACCCAAAATTCCCACTGTAATTTAAATGTAATAACAACAATAATAATACATAAATTTTGAGTATGACTTCCCCCAATCAGATGCATGTAATGTATGACAATATTTCCACATTTAAACAGTTTACATTTTAGTAAACACGTAATACAAATAATCAATCAGCTAAGGCAGTGGTCCTCAGAGTGGGAGTCGGGACCCCCCGAGGGGTCGCAGGACAATGAAAGAGGGGTCGCCTGGTGATTTCCAAAAATCTATTATTTTTATTAAACCATAATAATTACCATATTTTATCCATAACCTACTCAAAAGAAAAAATTATAAGTTATAGTTACTACACTACTGTATATAGTTACTATAGTAGCTTATAGTTACTAGTTCTGTTGGATTGCGACCCCTGGGGTAATTACATTATATTAAAGACACAGCAATGGTGTCTGGTGCAGCAGATTGATTTTATAACACCAGGTTAAACTTTCTGGCCCATTTACAGCTCTGACTTACATAAAGAAAAATCTGTGAAGAATAGACTTGGGTCTGTTGCTGTGTGTGTGCCATTGCATGCAAGCTTTCTGTAATTTTTAACCACCACAGAAGATATTGGGGGTCACGAGTCACTCGTCGCAGGCTGAAAGGGGAACCCCTGAACTAAGGAAGTGTGGTGAATTGTAGCTGATTGTTAACACTATTCACCTTCAGTGACCTGCCTTATGTCTCTATACTGCACAGTCATGAAAGGATAACGCTGTAAACTGTATATGTATATATTTCACGTGTATTTGAAGAGCATGTAAACATTTCTCCGGGGGCACAGGGAATCTCATTGTCTTGCAGGTTTTTCTAGCGGCAGTTCAGTTTCATCCATCTGAGACTTTATTTAGTTCTGTAGTCCTGTCTCGCTTCCCTCTGAACTGAAATCAGTCTGCCGGCCTCCCTGGGGATGACAGTAATGTCACATACCAGTTTGCCTCTCATATTTCACAAACAGGCCTCTACCTATTAAGGATGACTACTTACCACGGAAAAGGTGTGTCCTTCACATCTGCAACCTTCTCATATTTTCCTGCATAGACATGTACTGTATGACTGTTCACAAACACACACGCCTGTGAGGAAAAGCACAAAAGCAAATATCAAACACATGGGGTACATGTGCATAAATGCGAGATTACACATGATGGATTTAGATGCACTCGTTGTTCTGTTTGTTCAGGTGCACTTTAGAAGTTTTTTTTTTGTTTGTTTGTTTTTGTTTTTTTAGAAATTTTGAGATAAAATATTTTATTAATTTAAACAGAAAATTGGAATTGAAATTATTGAAGTGAAGATGGTCAAGATGCGGTACAGTTAATGCCAGAAGTTTACATACACTTTATTGACCTTATTCTAAAAGGCGGAAGTGCGCCTGTTTTCGCGATTGTCTTAGAACTTCCGTTTCAGTCGCCTATGGGAAAAATGACAAGGAATAATAAACGGCAAAAAACGGTCAAACTACTTGCTCTACAAACAAATGTTTGCATGACTATACAGACCAAGTAGAATAATATAACAAGGGAATATCAGTTTGCAACATCAAACAGCGAAACAAGCAGTTTTTAATGTCTAAAAATGAATGGAAGTGAATGAGACCGGAAGTCTCGCGCCAAAAAGATTCAAATGGCAGCGCCCGCACGTCTGCGGAGAATAAGGTCAATAAAAAGGCACATAACCATTAAAAAAAATAATAAATCAGATGTTAATGTGACTTACACATGTGAGTTAGGATTATCAAGTTTGTTTCTGTTATGCTTATAAGCAGAATAAGGAGAGAGATATTTTTTGAGAAATTGTTACAACTTTTCTTGAAAGTCAAGTTTACTTAAGATTTTTGTGCCACTGAAAAAGTTCAGATGATGGTGTCAATGTTTTGGACGTTTCTGATTAGCTAACTGACAACATTTGAGTTAACTGGAGGCACAACTGTAGAACAGTGTTTAGGGAAAACCTTAAACACACTGATTTATTGTGTGACAACATGGGAAAAAAATAAAAATAAAAAATAGCCAGATTACAATTTGCTAAATTAAACTGGGAAAAAGAATAATTTTTGGATACATGTCCTGTGGTCTGATGGAACTAGGATTAAACTGTTTGGCCACAATGACCAGTGTTACATTTGGAGGACAAAGGGGAAAGCTTACAAGCCTAGGAAAAAACATTCCGACTGTGAAGAATGGGGGTGGCAGCATCATTTCAAAGGGCTGTTTTGCTGTAGGAGGGACTGGTCCACTTCACAGCATACATGGCATTATGAAAAAAGAATATTATGTAGAAATACTGAAGCAACATCTCAACACTTCAGCCAGGAAATTAAAACTTGGCCACAAATGGGTCTTCCAAACAGACCATGACCCTAAGTATACTGCCAAATTATTAAAAATTTCTTTTGCTTTGAGGACAACTAAAATAGTAAATGTTTAGTATTATTTAACACATAAAAAAAAATTATGTTCCTTTTTTTAGAGTGAATGTAAACTTCCAGTGCCAATGCAGTGGCACAGCAAGAAGGTTGCTGGTTCGAACCTCGGCTCAGTTGGTGTTTTTGTGTGAAATTTGCATGTTCTCCCTGCCTTCGCGTGGGTTTCCTCTGGGTGCTCCGGTTTCCCCCACAGTCCAAATACATGTGGTACAGGTGAATTAGGAAGGCAAAATTGTCCGTAGTGTATGAGTGTGTGCGTGGATGTTTTAGTGTATATATATATGTGTGTGTGTGTGTGTGTGTGTGTGCATATAAAAAGTCTACACACTCCTGTTAAAATGCAAGGTTGCGTTGTAAAAAAATGAACCCACAGTAAATCAGTTTAGAATTTCTTCCACCTTTAATGTAAGCTATAACCTGTACAGTTGTATAAAAACCTAACTGTAATACTTTAGGTGCAGGGAACTAAAAATAAAAAAGCTAAAATAATATGGTTGCTTAAGTGTGTACACATTTTTAAAAGTGGGGATATGACTGCGTTCAAAATAAACAATCACATTCAAATTCATTTTAAATATGAGTCAGTACAGACCTGTCAGAAGTTAAAGTGTCTTTGATTAACCCAGAATAAAGTTCAGCTGTTTTAGTAGTGTTTAGTAGTTTTTTAGTAGACATTTCCCTAGTTGCATCTTACAGTGAAAGTCATGGTCCACAGAGAGCTTCTAAAGCATCAGAGAGATCTCATTGTTAGAAGGTATCAGTCAAGGCATTGGATATATTATGGAACAAAGTGAGGACCGTCATCATCAAGAGAGGAAAATATGGTGCAACTTTGTCATTACTGGACATCCCTCCAATATTAATGAAAAGACAAAAGGAAAACTGATCAGGGAGGCCTACCTATCCAAGAGGCCTACAGCAACACTAAAAAAGTTGCAGGAATTTCTGGCATATACTGACTTTGTGATACATGTGACAACTATCTCCCATATCTCCCACTATCTCCCATATTCTACATATGTCTGAACTATGGGGTAGGGTGGCAGGATGGCAGCCTTTTCTTACAAAGAATACCCAGGCCCAGTTAAATTTTCTCAAAAGCAACCATGGTTGGACTTTTTGCTCATAGATTCACAAGGAGTGTTTGGTACAACGTACACTTAATTGCAACAATATAATTGCAAAGTATAGTTTTTTTTTTTTTTTTTTTTTTTTACATAAACTGCCAAACATACCTTCTATGCCAACTTTTTTCTGTAAAGCTTAAAAAAGTATCCATTTGCACTAAATAGTATACTAAATTTACACAACTGCTCTGCATTCATTTTATGTTTACCCCAGTTCTGCAATGTTGATTGCATATTTTGACCTTTCTGCGCACAGAAGTTTAAGTGCCTCCTTGCGTCTTTAATAATTCACCTGCATCCACCTGCTCCTCCTTTACAGTCTGTCTACTCTTGTCACGCATCCTCTTTATCTAACTGAATATTCAAACAAGACTCTCCGTGACTGTCATGTCTTCTTTAAACAAGAAACAGGTGGGCAGCTAAACCAGTAACTATGGAAAGAAATGAGTAAGTGGAAAACAGGAACGGAACACAGGAAAACAGAGATAGCAGAAAGCTGAGGAGAACGCTATTTAAATCAAGAGTCTTTATTGGGGTCTATGGCTCTATAAATAGTTGTTAACAATAATAGAAAATTTATAATTGAACAAAAGACTCTTAGTGGTCCTTTCTTAGAAGTCCTCATGTCCGTTTGCCTCTTAGCTTTAACTGTAATGTCTTTTAGGCTTGCAGGCTTGTCTTTCATAAGCTTTTCACAGCAACTACAGTATGTACTAAAAACTTAACAATGTTGCCAAAACAATCTTGCATCTGAGAAAAAAAACTAAATCATGTATTAGTTATGCCAGGCCAAGAGGTGGCGATGTTACTTTGTAAAGAAACAGTATATGGCTGTGCACATCTGGTCCAGTAGTCTGCCGTAGTATCTGCCAGTAGTATCGCACATGAAATCAGTGTTTTTTATAAAATAGCCTTTATTTAAGTTCCAAGACAAAATCTTTATTGTTGTCAAAAAGCCATTGTTGAAAGTTAAAAAAAATTACATATGTTTTATTAAAAATTCAAAATGTTGTTGTTTCTCCAAAATGTCTCCAATCAAAACAGTGGAATCCATTATTTGAACGAATCAAGTGAACCACCAATTCAATTGGCCATTATTTAAGAGCCATTTTTTGAATGTGCTTTCTGAATGAATAGGCCACACTGCCTTTTTTCTTGAAAGTCAATCAAGACTGAATCAGCTTCCTATTGTGCACAAGTGTTGCTGTTGATATTGGTATAAATTTAATATTTAATAATATTGTGATATTCAAGATTTGTGAAGTCATACGGCTGCGGATAACACTGAGGATGGAGAATGAAAAAGATGTGACTGACATAACGCGCCTTTTCCGCTCAGAGTTGACTTTTTTTTTACTGAAAGCGCACATCGCGTAACAGCAAAAATGCGAGGTGCAGCAGGTGGTTAAAACGTGAACTGCGCAGGTTGCATAAGCAGAGTGCAAAACACTCGCAGCCGTTAGTAAATCATTCAAAAATGGCGTCTCACAAAGTGAAGTTTAATTTTAAACTAATTTCGAGAGGAGCATGTGCTCATGATTCAACCAGATGGTCTACATTAGCTAATTATGATCCTCCAATCAAAGGATCTTATAGGATATACATATATATATATCCTCATTTCCTTTCTACATTCTACAACTATCTTCATCTTGAAGAAACCTCCCTCCTCCCCTTCTTCCACCTTTATCCAGAATGGGCGGCACGGTGGCCCAGTGACTAGCACTGTTGCCTCACAGCAAGAATACCAATGGCTTTTGGTCCTCACTGGGCCATCTAGTATTTCTGTGCGGAGCTTGCATGTTCTCCACGTGCCCGCGTGGGTTTCCCCCCGGTTCCACGGTTTCCTCCCACCATCCAAATGTGCTCCATATTATAGATAAAATAAGCCTAAAACTTTTTCCTAATGTCTTACTCTCAGGAAGTTTGCTTTGGTCTCGGCAGTGGGGGAGTTTAAGATCGACCTGATCTCAATCTCTTCTCCCCCTACGAAAGGGGTAAGCCCTGGGCTCAAAGATCCCTTGAGCTCAGGGCTCTCTCCCGTGACAGCATGCCAAACAGGATATGTATAAATCCTGAGCTAAGTTTGAACTCTTGAAAAGCACAATGCAAAAAGCAATTTTACTGTAATCAGCCCATATATGACTTAATGTCCTAAATGCCATTTACCTATCTAGAAGCAATTTATTCCATTGTATTTAGAGAATAATTTATTAAATTAATTTCTGTATGAATAAAAATAGATTATTTAGAAATGTGATGGAATATTTTATTTTATTTTTTTGAGGAACATTAGTATGAATAATATTGGTGATGTTTCATATGAATCTCTAAATCTGAATACCAATTAAGGTGGAAGCTATGGCTGGCTATAAAAATATTTGTTAAATCAAATACTTAAATATTTTCAAAGATACTTTTCATATATAATTACCACATTGTGTGTTATATATATATATATATATATATATATATATATATACATATATATATATCAATGACTGTAAAAAATATGGACGACGCGACAGCCCTTTTTCCCATTGAACGCCTTGAGGGCAAAACGCCTGCTTGACGGGCACAAACTGTCGTAAAAGACTGCTGAAATTGGAGCCAGACATGCGCAGAAGGATTGTCTGATGGAGCCAGAGGAGGAGCCGCGAAAATGAGCAGAGTCGAGCTTCCAATCAAACGCTTTATGTAAAATCAACTACGCCCCCCGAACTTCTCAGCATGCGTTTGCTGTCATATCAACACAAATGGATGTAATAACGTTAACAAATATGAAGGTTTTATATATTCAATCGCGCCAGCTCCAGGCCGCAGCGCATAACTTACTCGCGGCGTCGCAGGCTGATTCCGGCTCGCATGCGGCAGCGCCTGCTCGCTCGGCCGCCGCATCTGGCTCGATTGACTCGGGCTGGAATTGGGTAGTGAGTCCAGGCATCCGGAGTAGGTCCAGCAGAGGTAACATTAGTCAGTCTGAGCTCTAAGAGATAAGTCTCCGGCAGGCGAGAATCTAGCCGGAACTGTGTTTTGCTATCTGGGTGGCTAGGCGTGTATCAGCAAACTAATAAAGCCCGAAAAAAGCTCTGAACTTAGCGAATAAACAGTGTTCCACCAGGATCATGTATGTCAGAAACTATAGTTTACTGCTGAACTCATTTTGTCATGGTAAAATAACACAGAAATCGAATAATAACATTTCAGTCTACTTCAGTCTCCTGCCGAAGCTCAGACGCCGCGCTTTGAGAAACTGTCAATCACAGCTGTCAATCACGATGATACGCCCAGCATTAAATTACTGCTAAAAACAAACTGTTTACAAAAATGAAGATCTGCAACTATTTCAGCACAATAACCAGTGCCTTAATCGACCAGAACTATCTTTCGGGACATTTTATTGCAAGTGTAATAATTTTTTTTTATTTGGGCTCAAGTCTCCTTCATTAACACGGAGGAGGCGGGCTTTATGACTTGTACTGCAGCCAGCCCCCAGGGGGCGATCTAACGGCCGAAACCTTCACTCAAACGTAGGCTTGCGGCACACTTGATATATATATATATATATATATATATATATATATATATATATATATATATATATATATATATATATATATATATATATTGATGTTTAACAGAGCAAGCACATTTTCACAGTATGTCTGATAGTATTTTTCTTCTGGAAAAAGTCTTATTTGTTTTATTTTGGCTAGAATAAAAGCAGTTTTAAATTTTTAAAAATCCATTTTATGATCAAAATTATTAGCCCCTTTAAGCAAATTTTTTTTCGATAGTCTACAGGACAAACCATCATTATACAATTTGCCTAATTACCCTAACTATCTAGTTAAACTAATTAAGCAAATTTAGCCTTTAAATGTCACTATAGGCTGTATAGAAGTGTCCTGAAAAATCATGGCAAAGATAAAATAAATGAGTTATTAGAAATGAGTTATTAAAACTACTATGTTTACAAATGTGTTGAAAAAATGTTCTCTCTGTTAAACAGAAATGGGGGGGGGGTAAACAGGGGGGAGGGGTAATAATTTAGGGGGGCTAATAATTTTGAAATTCAACTGTATTTATATATATATATATATATATATATATATAGTTAATTGATATACCTATTAAGATAAATGTTTAACAAAGAAAAACATCAAATGCATCCATAACCATCGCTAGAGACACTAGAGAAACTACCCCATCTATATTCCATGGTAAAAAAAAATGAAAAAGAAAACTAGTGCATGATTAATGATCTTACCTCTCTTTATTTCTCTTGAACCATACAGAAGAACAGCTCCACCTTGACCGCTCTATTAAATCGAAGAGCCAAAGTTATCAATTGAGACGTGGATGGAAGGAAAGTCAGTCTTTTCGCAGCGCCACGGCTCCTCTCGGCCCTAATGGCTCTCAATACGCAGCAAAGCCAGCGAGAGAGAGATGTTGCGTCTACATTTTTGACTGATTATGCATTTTTTTCTTCCTCGTTCTCTCTCTCTCTCTCTTTCTCTTTCCTTAAGCTATTCATAGAAGATAGATTCATCATTCCAATTTGTCAAGCCAGCGAAGTTTTCAATTAATTATGTTGCTGTAGAAGAGGCAGTGTGTGTATTAGGGCTCCCTGTCAGGACTCGTCTGAGGCCCCATTTACAGGACTCAAAATAAAGAGGTATCAGAGAGGTGGTTGGGCACAGCAGTAATTAATTTGATGAATGCCTTAGCGGCGCAAATAGTGGCAGCCGCGTGTCTCTTCATCAGCTGGCGTTTCGGCAGTCACCCTGCTCAGTGCTAATTTGAGAGGGGCCGTCTCATCCGTATAGTGTACGTCCTCGAAAGCGGACCAATTCTTCACGTCCGGGGCCACATGTGGGGGCCTTATGTTTCCTGTCAGCTTTGTCCTTGGTGCCAAGCAACTTGCTCCACTTAATGCCCAGTTCTTTGACTTTGTGGCCTGAAATGGGTAATCGGGTGCCGCCGGGATTTATGGGGCCCGGAGGTGCCGCGTCCTTTGCCGACTCCCGTTGTCGTTCTCCCCAAAGACAGATTAGTAAGACGGGCGGTCTCAGTCTGGCAGGTGGAAGCGATGAGGAGGGGGAACCTGCGCACCCCTATGCCAGAGAAGACGTGGAAATGCTGCAAGCATCTTTAACACAGCAGTGATGAAGAAATATGGTGCTGCTTGCGGTGAGCAACGATGGAGTCGGCACTTCTGTGAAAGAAAGGAGAGGTGGATCTGTCCTAAAATGATGGATCATATTATTGTGGTTAGGCAGAAGAATGCACATCGTCAATGTCAACAGCGCGCCAAAAGCTCATGGAGGAATAATTGGGCTTGTGCCACATAATTCAGGTTCAGATTTTCACAAGTGGGGGGACCTCATTATAAATCAGGTCAGGCTCTGATGCAACACTATAAATCAAAGACAGACGTGGCTCAAACAATTAGATAATTACCACAGCCCCATGTCACCGCTGTTTTAGCAAACCACTTTGGAGGTACAGGAGCGGGGCGGTAAAAATGCTCCATAAACCCCAGCATAATTAGTCTGGAGCAAATTGGAGAGAAGCAAGGAGAAAGAGAGGTGAGATGAGAGACACACAGGGAATTCCTATCGGTTTGTCAGGCGTATGATTGAAATCATGTTGCTTAATGCTTCAAAATGACAGTTGGAACAATAGAACTGTAGTTTAGAACACAATGCCTTTAATGAAAATGACAAATGATAAGTGGCATGTGTTCAACTGTTACTGTAGAAAACTGCATTATACAGCGATCACTGATACATGTGGATATTTATATTTTGATGGTTTATCTATTTTACTTTATTACTTTACACAATTCCTATTCTAATTTGCCTTTATGAACATTAAATTATCTAAATAATTATTTTTGATATCATTTCATGTATGTAATTTAAATTGAGTGCTATACGGTAAAAAAAAGAAAAGGTTTCTGTCACGTCTTGTTTCGTTCTGTTCATGTAATTGCATTACAAGACCCTAAATTCCTATACAACTTTTGATGTTGACTTTTGAAACATTAACTCAATTTAATCAAGTTAAATAAAGTGTTTAGTTTTAAACAACTAATAAAAAATAATAATAATAAAGGCGGCGCAGTGCTGTCGCCTCACAGCAAGAAGGTCGCCTTGGCTGGGTCAGTTGGCGTTTCTGTGTGGAGTTTGCATGTTCTCCCTGCGTTCCCGTGGGTTTACTTTAGGTGCACCGGTTTCCCCCACAGTCCAAAGACATGCAGTACAGGTGAATTGGGTAGGCTAAATTGTCCGTACACTCTCAGAAATAAAGGTATGGGAGCTGTCACTGGGGCAGTATCTTTTTAAAAGATACATATTTGTACCCAAATAGTCCACAGTGGTACCTAAAAGGTGCATGTTAGTACCCAAATGTAGCTAAAAAGCTCCCTTGAGATACCATTATGGACCCTTGAGGTACAAATATGTACCTTTTAAAAAGGTACTGCCGCAGTGACAGCTCCCGTACTTTTATTTCTGAGAGTGTAGTGTATGAGTGTGAATGAGTGTGTGTTGATGTTTCCCAGAGATGGGTTGTGGCTGGAAGGGCATACGCTGGGTAAAACAGGCTGGATAAGTTGGTGGTTTATTCCGCTGTGCCGACCCCAGATTAATAAAAGGACTCAGCCGAAAAGAAAATAAATAATAATAATAATAATAATAATAATAATAATAATAATAATGATTAACTATGAATGTAGAAAACTGCATTATACAGAATGCGATCACCGATACATGTGGATATTTATTTATATTTTTTCAGCTTATCTATTGTCATTTATTATTTTACCCAATTCCAATTCTAATTTGCTTTTATGAACATTAAATTATCCAAATGATTGGTTTTGAGATAATTTAATTTATGTTATTTTAATTGAGTGCTATACATTAGAAAAAAGGTTTCTTTCACTTTTTGTTTCACTGTGTTCATTTAATTGCACGATAGGACCTTAAACTCTTATACAACTTTTGATTTTGACTTCTAAAACATTAACTAAATTTATTGAAGTTTAATGAAGAATTGAGTTTAATAAATAAATAAATAAATAAATAGTAGCAATAATAATACTTTTATTTGAAGGATCCCTTTAATTTTTTTTACTGACAAAGTAACTCTGCATCATCTGACAACTAGCTGTCATTAGAGTTGGTCCACCAACATACATTCTACTGACTACAATTAATTTTGTAACAGTGTAATAGTAATACAAGTTAGCTGACATAGTTAGACATCTACTTATACAGTCAACACAATGTAAACAGTAGACCATCTAAATAACACATTCCCTCTTTTTCCTTTCCACTGTGATCCTCTGTGCATCAGTACATCTGGCAATGAGTTCACATGTGCTTGTAATGGTTTGGTGGACTTCCACTGACCCCTAGTGCTCACAGTGCTCTTCTATATCTCCAGCTCCAACTCTTCCTCCAGAAAGCCAATTACTTCCTCATCCCTGAGATTACCCCTAGTCATGGCTGCCATCTCAGATCCAGAGGCAGGGGTCCAATTGACCCCAATTGAAAGTGTCATTTTTCAGCACTGCCACACTGCAGAGATGTTCATTCCACCATAGACGGGGGGCAAAGAAACTGGCACTTTCCTGTACCGACTACACAGCTTTACGACCAGCTCCTTGTCCAAACACTACCACATAAGACACATAAGAACACACACAACTCTAAATGGCTTTTATGTTGAGTCTCTATAGGTGTAATATATATATATATATATATATATATATATATATATATATATATATATATATATATATATATATACTGTAAAAAAAAACACATTTAGTACATCACCTTACCCCAATCCTACCTCTACAGTCAACCCTCACAGAAACCTGTTGAAATATTTTAATGACAAAAACAACACATATATTGTATGGACAAAATAAAAAGAATATCAATCATTCATTCGTTTTCTTTTTGGCTTAGTCCCTTCATTAATCAAGGGTCACCACAGCGGAATGAACCACCAAATTATCCAGCATATGTTTTACGCAGCGGATGCCCTTTCAGCTGCAACCCATCACTGGGAAACACCCATACGCTCTTGCATTCACACACATACTCTACAGACAATCTTAGTTTACCCAATGGACCTATACCCGCATGTCTTTGGACTTGTGGGGCAAACCGGAGCACCCAGAAGAAACCCACACAAACACGAGGAAAACATGCAAACCAGCAACCTTTTTTGCTTTGAGGTGACAGCAATACCCACTGCGCAACCCCATAAAAAGTATATCCTTTCATCTTATGCTCTGTCTGTTTATTGTGTGGTTACAAATGTAATGCATTGTGTTGTAAAAGTAATGCATTGTATACAGTAATGCATTTTTATAATTTCTATGAGTGGATGGAGACACGACATGAATAACAGCATCATAAAAAAGTTGCAATCTTGAAAGTAAATTTTGGTTTAGGAAAAGCATTTTGTTTAGCAATGATTTTTTATTTTTATGTTGGACCTGTAATCAGTACCTAAAATTTTTTTTATAGTTTATTAATTTTTATTTTAAATTCCTCCATTGCCCTGATATTTCTACATTTGCTCTGAAGATCATAAAATAAATAAAGTGAGAAATATGATCACATATGAATGAGTACGTTTCAGATTAAAATGCAAAAAAAGATAAAATACTTTCCATGAGGTCAATATCAGAGGTTTGAACCTACTGTATACTAATCTCATGGTTCGGTTATGATTATCATGCTATAGATTCGATTTGATTCAATTTCTCGGTGCATCACGGTGCATTGACGATGCTTTACATAAACAGTTGAATATTTTACTTAGCAACACAATAATTCTTGTATTAAAATTTGCTATTTATTTACTCTATATATAGGAATTACAGATTTCAAAGAAAATGTCATAATATTAAAAAGGAAACATAAGCTTGACAACAAAAGATCCCATTAATGTCATAACAAATGCCCTTGAATAATGCAGCCTGTAGTTTACAGCAAGCATCAAGTGTTTATTGAGATGTATTTGAGATTGTGATGTCTGTCATGTCTTTTGTCTGTCTTTTCGGGGGGTTTTCTCGTAAGGCACGGCTTTTGAAAATGATGACATGAGACATGACACTGCTGGGTAGTTGCACTGGTTTACCAACACTAGTTTGTTGTTTCTAATTTCTTTGCAACTTCATAAGTGTTTCATTGTTGTAAACGATGAAACAGGCTTGTGGTGTTGCACAGTTTGCTCTGTTTTGTGTCAGATTGCAAATATATTACTTCCAATACAATTTTGTTTTTTTATTACAAGCAGTCAGATACATGTACTGTACCTTTAATTTTACCTGCTCAAAGAAAACCAGTACTCAAGTACAAAACTCAAGTATGCACAGAACAACATGAGCATTTATAGCAAATAAACAAATGTAAATATTATGTCGCTTGCTTTTAGAGCGCTGTCGAGCGAGTTTATAAATGCCTGTGATTGATCACACGCTCACCAGAAAAGGCTGCAAATGGACAGTCAGAACAGCTCTGGCAATGTTCAGCAAACACACGGACATTGATGTTAAACGGCCATGCCGATCAGCTGATCCAATATAGACCGCAACCCAGTGGTGAAAACTCGCTCTGCAGATGGGCTCATGTCTGGATTCCCAAGTAACTAAAGAGAGGAGAGAGAAGAGATAAAATGTTACCTCACAAACTCGCCAGCAGGTAAAAGGGGCCACAGAGAATAAGTAAGAGAGAGAGTTTACAGATTTTGTTTAGTCTCAGCTGGGTTCTGATGTACTTCCCTGTCAGTGAAAGACTGTCCAGCAAACTCACAAGCAGTGAATTGTGCACAGTTATCTACTTTTAAGTAGCCTAGTTGGAGTGTTTTACTGTAATTACTTGTGGTCTTCTCTCTCGCCATAGTAAGATACCACCATATAACGCATATCTGATGAACGACGTCAGTACATAATAACTAGTTACGATTATTATTAAACTGATACTGTATTCTTTGCATCTGAATCACGACGCACCGGATAAACTAATAATTTTGACCCCCCCTAGTCAATATTTATAAAAAACTATTAATTGATTGAATATACAGAAATTGTACTATCTAATGTAATGTAATGTGTATATTTATATAGTGCATTTATCGTGTATGGCCATGCACCCAAAGCACTTCACATTCATGAGGGGGGTCTCTCCACACCATCAACAGTGTGCAGCATCCACTTTGATGAGCCACAGGACAACGGCACAAGTACTCTCACCACACACCAGCTATTGGTGGAGTGGAGACACAGTAATAGAGCCAATTCAGTGGACAGGGATGATTGGTCAGGGGTAAATAAGAGCTCCTACCCCTTATTTTTAATGACCACAGAAAGTCAAGACCTCGGTTTAATGTCTCATTAGAAAGACAGCACTCATTGACAGTATAGTGTCCCCTTCACTTTACTGGGGCATTCGGACTCACACAGACAGGCTGAGTGCTGCCCTGCCGGCCTCACTAACACCACTTCCCACAGCAACCTAGTTTTTCCCATGTGGTCTCCCATCCAGGTACTGACCAGGCTCAGCCCTGCTTAGGTTCAGTGAGTAACCAGTCTTGGGCTGCAAGGTGATATGGCTGTTTATTAAATGTAGAATGATACAATATTATTATCAGGATATGAGATGACTAAAATTGTGATAAGAGATTTTTTGTCATATCGCTCAGCCCTTAAATTAAATATGATTTTTAATTGCTTTAAATTACGAGGCCACAGGATATGCCCTCATAAACTGCAACATTGTAATACCTAGGTCATACCCCTGTCAAAATTTGTGTCCTCGTTAACCACCAAAACCAGTGAACACACACATAAATTCCTTGTTAAGGTGGGACGGTATTGAGAGGGGCCGTCCTATGTTTGTGTCAAGGCTGAGTGCAAGGAGCCTCTCAACAGCAGTCCAGAAATCGAGGTCACAGCACTGCAGTGAACCAAGCGGAACAGATTGTTGCTGAACCTCTAGGCTTTTGCAGACACGTGTTGATCCCAGTACAGTGTGCCCTGCTTTTTTAGCTCACCCTTTCTCACACACACAAACACACACACACACACACACACTCACGTCTCCTCAGTCAACTCCCCTGGCTCTGGCTTTATAGAATATGAGGAAAATCTAAACTCCTGGACCGTGGCAGTGCCCCTTAAATATCTTGCTCTACAAGCACTCAACACCGCCCTCCCTGGAGGATCTGCCAAAGAACACTGTATGCCAGCTCTTAGTCTACTACATCATCAGTCTTCATGCGGACTTTGAAAACACTCACTCCATTAATGTCTGTTACGCTCAGAGGTCGATGGGAGCTAAAGATCACTCCTTCCCATGACAAATGTGGTTGGTATACACAACACTTTTGAACTATGAGGTCGTATGCTACAGTTGTTTGAGAAAACTTGCAAAAGTACTCAGACTCTTGACAAGTTAACTATTATTCTAATTTTAATAAATGCAGCATTTCATACAAAAATGCAAATTCTTTATTATAAAATTATAAAAGGTAAATGAATAAGCTGGAATCTGGCAGTGGCGCAGTAGGTAGTGCTGTTGCCTCACAGCAAGTAGGTCACTGGGTCGCTGGTTCGAACCTCGGTTCAGTTGGTGTTTCTGTGTGCCTCCCTGCCTTCGCGTGGGTTTCCACCGGGTGCTCTGGTTTCCCCCTCAGTCCAAAGACATGCAGTACAGGTGAATTGGGTAGACTAAATTGTCAACAACTGCATCAAATACTCATTATTAATAAAGTTCTTACTGTAGTATTTCTCACAAATGTTACGTAAGAACTTCTTCCTGAGGCAGCTGAGGGCAGAGATTGAAGCATGCTGACAGGCACCTGGAAACGGTGGGTGGGGAGGACTAGCCTTAAAGGCCCAGTACAAGAAAACAGCAACAAGCTGTTAAAAGCTATAAAAAATAAACTTCAGAAAGGTATAATAAATAATCTGATGGGTGTTTTGAGCTGAAACTTTACAGACACATTCTGGGGAGCCAAAAGACTTATAATAAATCTGGAAAAAGGGGTAACCTAGGTGCCCTTTAATGTAAACCAGCTGATTATCCCTGCCGAACATTCCCACATATGTGTCAGAGCCATGAGATCGCTCTGATGGGAGTAGCCTTCAGGTGCAGAGGAACACAGAGAGCTGAACAGATCTTTTAATCCCTTTTGCTTTGCAAAAGTCCTGTCTTGTAGATATGATTATAAGCCTTACTATGGAAACATGTTGATATGCAGCTGTCAATCAACGGGGTATATGCATACAAAGTTTTAATTTCAGCCAGCCAGCCTCAGAGCTTTCCATTATAAATGATTTTTTTAATTTGTGATATTTACTACCTGATAGATTTATGATATGAAGTAGGTCTCAGACCAGACAAGAAGCACTGTGTTAAATTCCATTTTCCCCCACCTTGTCTTTAAAATCTGCTGATCCTGACGGTGCTAGAGGTCACATGGTCTTTCATGTTTTATGCTTGAACAACTAAATGAATGCTTAAGTCTAACTAAATGTATTGTAATAACACTACAACATAGATGATGTAAAATAAACCGTATGAAATTAAAAGAGTCACATTAAGCTTTCACTGGAAGTTTATCATTGGCTGAAAAACACTAGCTGTGCATTACCCTATTTGATGGGTGGGTAAAATCGCACTCCTACGTCACATTGTGACATGCCTCACAATTGCAGGGGTTTGAATGATATTTTAATGTCAGGAAGTTTAAAAAAAAGACTTGTTGTGTTTCTATCACTTTAATATAACAGTGGACACACTATACCTACACACAAATCTGTCCAAACAGCTTATAAGTTATGTTATATTTAAGTTACTTATATTTCCACCATAGGTACCCTTTAAAATAAAAATGTTGTAATTTCAAACACAACAATAAAAAAAGATGCCATCAGGACATAATATATTTTGAAACAACAATTACTGTACAGCATAAAACAATACCAGTGTTTTAAAGTCAGAATAGCAAATAGAGAAATCAATATTTTTGACGCTAACTTTCATCAAATTAAAATAAATAAACTTCTAAATGGCAATAAGTTTATTTGAAATTGGGAAGAATATAATCTGCAATTTACCTTATGGTGTATAAACCAATGTAACTTCAAAATATATATATATTATAAAATTGCTTATAGGTAAATTGTATATTTTCAAAATTAAAATTACATGTTAAAAAATACTGTAGATTAAATTTCTAAATACTTATTTCAATCAATTATTTTACTTAAGGATGGTCTGTATATTGTATATGACTACATAATAAAAAAAGTGTTCATTTAAATTTTTATTGTAACACAAACATACAGACACACAAACTTGTACAGCTATCTTTATAGACACTTCCTACAGACAAAATTGTTTTATTTTTAATTTTATCACTGTTTATTCTATCACTGTTTATTCTACTATTTCCCAGAGATGGGTTGCGGCTGGAAGGGCATCCGCTGCGAAAAAAAAAACGTGCTGGATAAGTTGGCGGTTCATTCCGCTGTGGCGACCCCTGATTAATAAAGGGACTAAGCCGACAAGAAAATGAATGTATGAATGAATGATTATTCTACCCAAAAGCCAACCCAGTTACACAAAACAATCTACATTTTTACATTTTCAAAATACTGTATTCTCTGTAATTTATGGGCAATTTTTATCAAGCAGACCAAAGGATTAAAAAAAAAAAAAAAAAAAAACGCCCACCAAAAGGTCAGATATTGGTATTGCTATACATGTGGGGACATTTTAGCTATCTGTCCACACACACACACACACACACACACACACACACACACACACACACACACACACACACACACATACAAACATAAAAAATTCACAAATAACTGCATATATAATTAATTTCAGTTCCTAAGATGTGTGACATCCTGCTCCTAATCAAGCCACATTTTCAGGAATAAGCCACATCAGCACAGCTGTCACTTCAGCTCGGGTCAGGGTTTTGTCAAAGCCATAGGTTTCAAAAGTGTTTGTCTCACTAGATCACTGTCAGTAAAACCTCTTTAAATAGATACTAAAATCACTTCTACATAAGTCCCATCTGTCACGGTCGTAGCAGTACAGTAGATGGGCGATGTTTTGAGGCACAATTGATCTTTTAATAATGTCATGACCAACACACGACCTGTCGAAATGGCAATATGAATCATGACTGAGGAAAAACTGAGATATCAGGTCTAGCAAAAAGCAAAAAAAAAAAAAATGTAGCAAGAGGGCAGACGATTCAAGATGGACACAAGTGCTCCTCTTTCCTCTCTTATTTACCTTTAAAAAAGTTATTAGACGTGATATCACTCGTGGCGTTCTGTCATTATTGTCATTTTGCATGAGTGCCATAGTAGTGAGTTGTGAACGCTGTGACAGCAGATTGACCCAGGCTGCTGTTCACTTGATTGATATCTGTGCAGACAATGATCGTCCTGAGCTTTTTTATGCTCCCCCTTGTGCTGTGCTAGTTGGTCGGAGAGGGAATTGTGGGTAGGGGGAGGATCGACATGGGGGAAATTGTCACACCAGGAAAGTCAGCGAGGCGTAAAGCCCTGCATGGGCAAGCGGGGGTCAGTGGCTTCTTTTTGCCCTCTCTGTGCCCTAGGTAAAATGATCTAAGTGATTCTGGAGCTCCGCCACCGAGCCACTGAGCGAGAGTGTGAGGGAGAGAGACACAGAGATTAGCATAGATAACAAACAGCTACCTCTAAATATTCCACGTTCAATACAATCGACAGCACTTGTGGTGTAATGTTGCTTTGCACAGGGTGTCATTTATTGTAAAAGTAAAATCAAATATTTAAAAATAATAATTTTTGCTACAAGATTTACATAAAATTAGTGTAAATGTCTGTTTTAGTTTAAAAGTTTGCCACTTGTAAAATATTCTAAAAAATTTTCCAC